GCCGGTTCCGATTTGGCAGTTCTGAATGTTAACAGTAATGCCATGTTTTTGTAGTCGTTCGAAAACAAGATTCAGATGCCTGGGATGCGATTCTCTGTCCGGACTTGCGATTAGGCAGTCATCAACATACGCATGTACGAAGTTAAGACCTCGGAAAACGTCCTTTACGAACCTTTGGAATGTTTGAGCAACGTTTCTTAGACTGAAAGGCATTCGCAAAAATTCAGAGTCCGAATGGAGTAATGATGGCGAATTTTGGAATGTCGTCTGTAGACATAGGGAATTGGTCATACGCTTTAACCAAGTCGATTTTCGAAAAGACAGTTGTACCTTTCAAAGCAGCTGTCAAATCGTGAATGCGAGGCAACGGGTAACGATTGGGGAAGGTTTTCTCATTCAATCTCCGATAGTCACCAGTTGGACGCCAATCGTTGTTGTTCTTTTTAGGGACAATGTGCAACTTATCCTACTGTTCTTTATCAAAGGCTGTTCTACTTTCTAGTAAGTTGCTGACCGACACTGGAACACTAATTAAATTAGGGAGTTTGTCAAACGTCATTGTTCCTCATTTTTATATTTCAGGGAGCTACCGTTTAGCCATTTCGCCTCTCAATTACCACTGCTTCTTACTGTCAGTAGATACTGGGTTATTAACAGCAGTCAGTAAGTTCGTTAGTGTATGAGCTCGGGTTGTGGCTGCCCTAGTCTCGTATTTGGCTGAACATCTGTTTTACGAGTTTGTAATACTGGTGTGGATGGTTTTATTTATTTTCGTTAGGGGACCCACGCTTACACAGCGGTTCAACTAGGTGTGATTATGATTATCAGGTTTTTTATTGTGGTTTTCTACTGGCAAGGTGAATACGCAGTACACTAGACTCGGACGGTGAACACGAAGGAACATTACAGCGCGTGCCTAGAGTCATCATTTTCTGTACACTCGCATATTACAATGGCTTTAAATATATGTAAGATATTGAACTTATTCTCACACATCTTTGCACCCTGCAGGTTCAAGCGACCCCTGGTATATGACGGTCCGCCAATCTATTTGTTTCCCCTAATCTCTTCATGCCAACAGCAAGATTTAGTGACGGGCCACCGTTACATTGCTGACCTGCTGTCCTACAGTGGATTGATGAATTCTCAAACTTAATCTCAAAGAGAATGTGGATATAACACAGTTTCACTGTTCAAGAGTATTCGAACCGAAAGTAACTCAGTCTTCATTCATAAACCGACTGCATTCAAATCAAAATAAACAGCTTTTTAAGGTCGTTGCATATTCTTCATTTACATGAGCTACTGTAAATCATTATGTGATACTCCAGGGTTTGGTATTAGGATCCTTTCAATTGTTAAGTTATTCAAATGACATCACACGGAATTTTGACTTTTCAGTATTAATGTCAAGCTTCGGAAAGTGGGTTGTAATCACTATTGCAAGCCGAAAATTCAGAATGATCTTTCTGTCTTTGAAGGTTGTGTAAACAGTAATAGATATACTTTCAATACTTCAGTGTGAAGCGGTCGTTTTGAAACATAGCGCAAACTGCACATACAACTTGGAAAATCTCCTTATAGAAAAGGTCTTGTGAGCCTGGTACCCTGTGTTTCAAAATCCGCTGTAGAAGGATAATCAGACTGGATAACGTGCACATAGAAGAATCACAAAATCAGTTCCTGGGCTGGAATGAGATCCCAAATTGTAAAAAGTTAGTAATATTTGGGGTTGTTTAAAGTAGACTGTCAGTGAGCAAAGGCGAAAACTGTGAGGCTAAGTTTAGCCCTTGCAGTTGTGCTGTAGATCGTATTTTAATGTCTAAATGACTGAAGTGTTCAGTCTTGAAACAATATGGCATTTCATTTCCCAGGAACGTCCTATTGGTTCATGGTTCGTTTCATGGTTTGATAGGCTTAATTGTCCATAGTCAGCTACTTTAATTACGATGTCTTTTCAAATGAGACAATAAATACGATACCTCTTTAGTTTAGCATAGTTTATTGTAATATGATTCTGTTTAGGCAACATGATAATGGTACTTGAGGAAATTAATGAAGCACATAAGTTTGATAACTAAAGTTGCTTACATTTTCATTTCCGTTGGTGCTCTTGAGCGTCAAAACTTGAAGGCGATCAGTATGAGATTCTGCATGCACATTCGTGTAACTAGCTCCAGGAAGCTTAAGTTAAGAGCCTGGAACTTGTGCAGTACAGGAAGAATCGGGAGGTAGATGTGATAATGTTGTGCTATATTTTTCATATTACCCCTTGCCATAACATATCACCAATTCGTTTCACTAATTAATTACACGTAAGACCGTAGGGATGGTATGTAATCTATACGTCTGGCTTCGACCATACTTCAAAATCACTACCTCTAAACAATTCCTCCCGGAGTTAACACTGATATGTGGATGATCAACTGGCAGCTTTGTTAGGTTATCGGAGAAGAGCAGTTGACTGTCCAAGGAGAGGAGTGTTCTAGGTCTTGATTAAATGCAACCGGCTATGAATAAAGATTAAAAACCTCTTACCCTACTGTCAATTTTATTTTATCGAACGCTAAGTCATCTCGTATATTTTCCCGTGAAATGAGACGTGAAATCATCAGAATAGGTAAATGGAAGGAAAAGTATGAGGGCAGTACAATACGTTATTTAGCATATACTATACTTTGCAAAGGTTATAGGAAATGACCCCATCTTTAACTCATGTATATGAAAATGTAAGTAAACTAGTCTTCCAAATTCTTCTTTGCTTAAAAAAACTTCAATTTAGTTCGTTTGTTTACTTATTTCACGTTCATATATACATGCATTTGTTTTAGTTTCACAACCGCTTCCACTGTTTATAAGTTGCTTGGGTTAAGCCTCGGTTTCAGAAATAAAAACAAAAGACTGCAACATTGCATTGTCAATGTCAATGAAAACTTTATATGAATGTATACTTAATATTACTTTATTTGTGAAATTGTTTCTGAATAGGTTTGTAAATCTGATTCTATCTTGATTTGTGAAGTTAACTCTCGTTAGAAATCCATGAAGTACAAGCTCCTTGGCATTGAGCTCACACGTAATAAGTGACAACTAAAAGTGGTGCATGTCACAGACCCTGGGCCTTTCACACAATGCCATACGAAGCAGATCGGTACGCTTCTAGCCTTCTTACAATCTGTATTAGTCATCATGGCACCTCACGGTGGTTGGTAGGCGGACATGCGTTATACTTGTCCGAACCATCGCCGCCGGTAAACAAGCCATATTTATAGAGTGCTGTGTTCTAATCTCCCAGTTGTTAACTCGAATGTCTTATAATTTGCGAGCGATGCCTCAAATACTCCCATGATGGAATACCAGTAACCTAAGGGCACACCACATAGTACGACACATATATAGCTTCTTAATTAGAACACGACGACGGTCTCTCTCACCGCGTCAAAATCCACGTCATTGTATACATAGCAAACAAGTATGTATATACTGAATGTAATATAATGTTTTCATTTTTATAAAGTCAAACGTATGACATTTAAAAGTTGGAGTAAAATGGTAATATACAGCAAACACACACTGTACGACTTGTCTCAACTGATTACCTGAAACATAGAATAAGAGTTTTAGTTGGACAGGTGGATTCAATAAGACTTAGTTTTCTGGTAGGAAGGAAAACTGGACTTACTGAGTTTGAAATGGTTTTAGCATATGGTGAATGCGATCGAAACCGACAGTTTTTGAAGACATAATTACCATAGAAATTGTCTAAACGTTATCCAAAAAACATAATTCTAATAGAGGAAGGCTGAAATCTAGGCTGTTACAAGTTACGTTTACTTTGAACTGCCTGTTTCCTTCTCTATAAGCAGATTTTCGTAATAAGGACGGTATTGGAATCAGACAAATCTCATCAAACAAAGGCCGACAACTGAAACATCTGTCAGATAGTTTTCATTCCTTGGATGATTGTACACCATTCTAGATGAAGCTATCGTGTACCGGATGACACCATAGCGCAAAGAAAACATGGCTTGGCGACCAATAAACCTTGGCCTCTAGAGGAGTGAGCATAATAACGGTTATTTACTGCTTCACTCTCCGAAGTCGTCCATCCGGCTTCGTTTGATGGACAAAAGAACGAACATATACAACATACTTATAGCGTATCCCGGGCGTTTGGTCATTTTACTTGCCTTCACACAGCACGTAACGCGTCTAAGTCATTTGACGACGTTACATGGTATATATTTGATAACGAGCTTGCTACAAGAGACTGATAGTGTATCTGACTTGGTTTCATTTTGGTGGGTCTCGTGAACCTTTCTAACATATCACTGTTTCCGTATTAGTTTGGCTCAATGACGGAAGAGGTTCATGATGCTATAGAGAATAACAAACCGAAAATCGTTTTCTTCCATAGTTCTCGGTAACTTAGTTGCCCTTGCAATTCTCATTGCCATCTTCTGCAATGCCTAATTAACAGAACAATTAGAGACTTCAATTTCTTAATAAATACAGCACTCACAAGTAAAAACACTAAACGTGCACTTGAAAGCAGCATGTAAATACTTTTAAGGTTCACCATTATTTTCTTTACTTTGTTGATGAACATAATGAGTGCACGTCATATAAACTCATGAGATTACTGTTTCATTTGTTGAAAATCCTTAAAGTCGCGTTCTAATTCTTTCCAACCGAAAAACTTTTGATCGAGAAATCTCTCGGAAAATAACGTTCAGGTTTACAGAAGCCGGGACGAAACCAGTTGATGCAGCAGTACCACTAATCGCTATAGGTAGGAAGCAGTAAAACAACGCATAAATATCTTTTAGCTATAGCATAACAGAAACAAAAGCAATTGAATTGACCAGTCGGTAAGAATGTTTGAAGAACTATGTAGCGGTTACGAATATATATATATATATATATATATATATATATATATATATATATATATATATGGAGAATTTATATAGCTGACCACATCGCGCTATTCAAATACAGAATGCCAGCCGCTATTTCAACTCTACAAGGTCGTGTAAACCTTAGTGAGGAAATTGTAAGCTGGAGCTGACTTATGCATATATATGGACTGTGTGGCCCGCTGTGTCTACTTGACACGTAATATGCTCCTACTCGTTCAACTATCTGTTGCCAGTTTCGATTTCATGATTGTCTCAATGTGAAGTTTGTGTGATTAGTGATTGTCGTCTGTTTCTTTGCCTTATAAATTTAAGTAGATTGTGTGGGCTTGCTGAGTCGTCGACTCACCTTTTCTTTTGTTCTCCTTTTCAGCCCTCATCACTTACGCTACTCTGAATGCTCCCTTAGTACACAAAGTACTTTCTGGTAAGACGCGAACTTCTACAGGTGACCATGTTTCAATGTATCTTTTTATAATGACTCTTGAAATAAAATTTAGGTGTTTATTTTGAGAAATTACAAATTTGACTTTTGAGTCAATTTTATTACTATTTGTTGGGAGTGTACTATAACTATCGACTCAATATTGAATCATGCATTCTCTCCCTATATACGTTTATATCGTCTTAACATAGCATATGTACGTTAGAAATCAGACATATAGGTGGATGGTTTGTTAGAAAACTACGGTTACGATACAAAGAACTTATAAAATACCACCTCATTGTTAAATCATTGTTACCATTCAGAATCGTAGTAACTGTTTTGTGAATCCCGAATTTTAATAAAAACCAACCGACAACATAAAGTGAGACTTCCAGTAATGTTTGTCGATGCAGAACACTGAATCTGTGGGACAGCAACCGAAAGTTTCCATTTCAAATTATTACTTACATTTTCTCTCCGACAGCGCTTTTAGAGCTCATCTCACTTCATGAAAATAAGCTTGCGATGTTATACAGTTCCACAAGGTCTTTTCTTGTGGAAGTTGGCAATAAAATACGCAGTGTTAGTGCGCCTAATGACTATAACATAACTAATTGATATACTAATAAAAATTATGCGCTTCTGAAGTTCTTTTCTTGTTGTACTGCCAAGAGTAATATGGCTGGCCGTTTCAGGTTTCACTGCATACGATAAGATATAGCGCATGGAAGTTTTGGGATTGTCATTCATTGATTGTGGCACAATGACCATCTGACATGTAAAGTTATAATCCAACGAGTTTGTCCCTCGTGTCTTCTTGCTAGACACGCATCCAACGTTCACAGTTCCCCTTCAGATGTCAAAAAGAAATAAGAACTTGATAATCTAATATCAAGTTCCCATAGATAGTCATGCACATCAAACTTAGACTGAGACATGAACTGCATAACATTGGCACTGGAGTTTGATATTGCTGACGGCATTGACACAGTACAGTATGAAGTTTTGCGAATCTAAAACAACTTAAATTGTAAATGTTACTCAATTACAGACCCGATGTCAACAGGCGTTGATGTAGGTATTGATGGCAGCATCTACTTGTGTAGAAAATCTATTTATAAACAGCTATAATTAGGACGTGCTCACTGTGCAATCGGTCACACTAGTGTCGAGCAGCCTGAACTTCATATAATGAGCATGCATAATTGTAGCCTTCATTTCAGCCACATTCATACCGACTAAATCATATAAATACTCTGGTTTCCGTTTCAATGCCTCTTTTTGAAAGACCAATAGGATTACTGTGCTTACTTTTTGGACTTCCATGTATTTAGTGGCAGTGTTTTTGTCACATTATTGGCATGACAGCCGGGTAATTCGCCGAACGAAACCAATAAATCCTTCGCAGTCTGTAAATTGCTTTTAGGGAAGGAGTGTGTTTAGCTCACTACAGTAGTAGATCACCTTACTCCTGATGACTGACTAATCGTCATCTGGTTGAGCACTTTTTCTGGTCCACATACACCAGGTAGGGTACGTGCAAGTTCTTCGCCAACAAGTCATTTGCTGCAATTAGTACCTGCTTCTTACTTGGCGCATTAATGACTGCAAACTGCTTGGCGGTACGTTGAACGATATTTAAAAGTTAGTAATTATTTCGAAGTAATAATATTTGAGTACCTACTTACTCCTGTTACCCCTCGTTAAAGAGCATAGGCCGCCTACCAGCATTTTCCATCCAACTCTGTCCTGGGCAATCCTTTCCAGTTGCTATTCATTTTCTTGGTGTCTGCTTCCAATTTTCGACGTAGTGTGTTCGGCCTTCCTCCTTCCCATTTCCTTCCAGGATTCCAGGTAAGCGCTTGCATAGCGATGCAGTTTGGTGATTTCTGTAATGTATGTCCTATCCACTTCCAGTGTCCTTTCTTTATTTCCTCCTCAGCTAAAACCTAATTTGTTCTCTCTTATAGTAGGCTGTCGCTGAGGGTTTCCGGTCAACGAACATTGAGTATCTTGTGTAGATAACTGCTTATAAATACTTGTGCCTTTTTGATGATGGCTGTAGTACTTTGCACGTCTCAGCTCCGTACAGTAGACCTTTCGTATTGAAGATTCTCACTTTGATTTTGGTTGGCAGTTGTTATATGCTCTTCAATTGTATGAATGCGTCCATTGCTTTGCCAATAATCACCTTTCTGTCTGCATCAGATCATCCTTGTTCATCGATGATGCTGATTAGGTACGTGAAAGATTCTACATCTCCCAGAGCTTCTCCATCAAGTGAGATTGGCTTGTTTACAGTGTTGTATTTGAGGACCTTGGTTTTATCCTTGTGTATGTTGAGGCCTACTGATGTGGAGGCTTCCTCCACACTGATTGTCTTGACCTGCATTTGTTGTTATGTATCGGATAGAAGGGCTAAGTCATCTGCGAAGTCCAAATCGTCTAGTTGCATCCAAGCTGTCCATTGTATTCCGTGCTTCCCTTGAGATGTGGAGGTCTTCACAATCCGGTCGACCACCAGGAGGAAGAGCGAAAGTAAACAGCCTTGTGTGACACTGATCTTTACTTGGAATGCATCGATCAGCTGTCCCGCATGCACAAATTCGCAGTGTAAAACGTCGTATGAATTCCGTACAGTGTTGACGATCTCCGGTACACCATAGTGTCGAAGAAGTTTCCATAAAGTCTTCCTATCCGGACTTTCGAATGCTTTTTCATTGTCAAGAAAGCTGGTGTATAGTGACAAGTTCCATTCATTTGATTGTTCAACAGTGATCCGAAGTGTCATTGTTTAATCAATGCACGACCGATTCTTACGGAATCCAGCCTATTGACCTCGAAGCTGGGAGTCTACTGAATTTTTCATCCGGTTCGGCAACACTGTTGAAAAATTTCCCTGGTACTGACAGCAGTGTGATGTCTCTGCAGTTCTCACATTTGTTCAGATCTCCTTTTTTGGTATCCTGATGAGGTGTCCTTCTTTCCAGTCTGTGGACAGTTTTTCCTCTTCCCAAATCTTCCTGAATATAGTGTAAAGCATACTTGCAGTTACTCCTATGTCTGACTTAAGATCTTCAGCTGGTATATTCTCAGGTCCTACAGCTTTTTTAATCTTGATTTGTCTGATAGACACCCTGATTTCTTCGGTCGTTCGTGGAGTGACATCTATAGGAAGGTCTGTAAGTACTACTTCAATATTCGGTGGATTCAAAGGGGCTGGCTCATTCAAGGGTTCCTCAGTGTTCAATCCATCTGTTCCTCTTTTCTTGAATTTCAGTGATTGGCTTGCCTTCTTTGTCGTTGATCGATGTCGCTGGCTTACTGTATTTCCCTACTAGCTTCTCCGTTGTTTCATACTTCCTTCTTTGCAGCTTTTTCCTGTTTCGTTACTAGGTTTTCCACATAGTTCTGCTTGTTAGCTCTAATGCTCCTGTTCACTTGTTTGTTTGCTTCTGTGTATTCAGTCTGTGCCTTGACTTTCTCTGCCCTTGTTCGGCTGTTGTTAATTGTTGTCTTCTTCCTTTATTGAAGCGCGTCCAGGTTTTCGATAGAGCTCTTCATCGAGTGTTCATAGAACTTGTTAGTTTTTCTTTAGACAATGTACGTTAATTCGTATACAGCCTTATGACCTATCACATCCATTGTATGATTGTTTCGATGTTGTAAAATCATAAAGCGATCACTTTTGAGGTTACTTACGACTTTTTTCACATGAACCTGGAGTTTTTGGAATAACGATGCTCTATATCATTCATATCATGTTAAAGCTTACGTCGGTGATATTATAAGCAACAGTTTTGTTCATACCTATACCAAGGTAATCATACGATTTCGGGATCGAATTAACAAGAGGTAAAACCTGTGATTCGTTTGTCTGGTTATGATTACAAACTATTAAATCCACCTGAAGGATTTTTCGTTGAATGATGTGGATTCATAGTGACACTTATAAAACTTACATTGTGTCTTGCCTCAACGTATAACTTTCTACCTGTGGTCGGATTTATGCGTTTCGGTTACCTTTAGTTCACCTTTTGATGATTACGGAGATCTATCAACCACAGATTATTGTCCCTAATGGATTACTAATCCATCGAGGTATTATCTACACAGACTATTGGTCTGTATCATATATTACCTTACACATTTTCTCCGATATATGTATGTTCAGGTAAACTGGCTAGATAGTTCAATGTATTTCGGAATTATCTCACTTATTACATCATATCAAATGGCTCGTTTTAAAAGCTTTCACTCAACCCCAACATTTATTAGTTTGTAAAGATATAGTTAGGTCGTTTAATCTACGCTGACATTATTATTGTGCAGTTGCGTTAAATCGTGCCAGTTAATTGAACCTGGAACCTACAGCTATTTACTTGTTATTACTGGAGGTATTTTGCAAATGAAATACTAGAACTTACAGCTCGTTTTTCCACTGTTATCAGAATCTTCACGAAACTTGCTTAAGAAAACTACGAATAAAGGTCAAGTCTGTAATACATCTTTGTAAAACGGAATAAGTTGTGGATCATTTTGTTAGCTGAAATCTTCACTATTGCGTTTGTTTTTGTTCTTGAGTTTTCTCATATCGTCCTTCACTAATCATAATTACAAAGGAAACGCTTCACTAACACTAAACTCTTTCGAAGTCAAAAAGAAAAACGGCCACGAAAAATACCACTTAGTTCGTTCGTTTCAAGGATATAAAAGTAAGAACACAGTTCAAGTTCGTATAAGTAACGATTTTAGTGTAAAGTTGATCTTTTAAACTACCTGTATTTCCTTCAAGTGTAATAAAAGCTATCAATAGTTCCAATGAATTAATTGTTTATCACAACCAATTAGTAAATATACCTGGCATAGATGACGATATTCGACGCATTATTATAGAAAAATATAGTTACTATATTTCAAAAGATAATTTTAATGGTTGAAGTTTTGTCCGAAAAACTACTGCCCATGTAAATGACGGAGACATGTGTAAGCGATAGCAAAGGTTCCACGCATTACCAGTTTTCGTTTCGTTTTTAGACACGTAAATACTGTAAATGTTTATAATTTATTCGGTACATTTTATGCTTTTGGATACCTAGACAAACGTTGAAATTTGTTTCATACCTATGAATCTAAATAACGCTCAAAAAGATGTGAATCTAGAAACTGGTGAAGAAATTAAGCGTAATGAGTATCGTAAAATGAGCACGTATGACTTCGTGCGGCGTGACATTGAGAAATATTTCGCACATCCGGTAAGTTTGCCAAATACTTATTTACGTTCATTTCATACAAAGGAAGAAGCGCTCGTAGCTCCTGAATTAGCTCAACCTCAGCTGCCTAAACCACCACCTGAATTCGTTCGCAATGTATGGGGTAATGTCACTTTTCAGTCCAAACAAATTTTAGGCTCTGCCGCTGGAGTGGGCAGTGGGGACTTTCACATTTACAGAGGAATTAGACGAAGAGAATATACTCGTTTAGAAATGATTGAAAAAACTGCGGAAGAGGTAAGACATTTTAATTGTGTATCACTATTAATTTCTTTAGGAACGTTTAGATAGAGAGTTCCAAATGAAGCAAAAAGCATTAAATGATCTAGCTGCTGAAAAAACTGCTAAGAAGCGTGCTAAGCGTCAAATGAAGAAAGAAAAACGATTAAATAAAAGAAAACTGAAATCAAAGTCAAAATCTAAATCTGGTGAAAACAGCGATTACTCAGATGAGCAGTTAGAAAATTCTGCGCAAACGGAAAGTAGTGAATTTAATAAGATTTGACGGTCGAATTATAAATTTCACATTATTGCTCTTTCTAACTCATCCATTACATTTGTACGTAATACGTTTCCCCTTATTTCTGACAAGATTTATTCATGGGTAGTTTATGGAATTATTTAAGATAATATCCTAATTTTTATAAGGTATCCTGTTTATTTCAGTAATGCAGTGAGAAGACGAAGGTTATCAGAATCATGTAATATATTTGCGCAATATATTTCAAACAATGTGATCACATATATAATTATTAAGACATTTTTATGCGAAAAATTAAAGGTCAACTAGAAAAATTAAAAGGTAAATGGAAATAAAGAATAGTAAAGTACATAATGTGAAAACCACGCTGCATAATAAATCACTATTATCAGGGTAGGTTAACGGTAAGAATAATTTGTCTTTGAACACATGAAGAGGGTTTCAGTCTCCGTATAGCCAATGCTTCACTAAACCTTAGTGTGCGCTCTTCAAGGCTTTTGTACAACACTACAAAGGCTGACTTGATATCAACCTTATGACCGGTCACAATCAAATGTTTTGCAATTGAGGAAGATGTTTGTCTATCCTGCTTTGCCTGTATTGGCAGAAATAGCTATAGTTTGCCATATCAAAGTCATCAATTTTTGTGGTACTTGCATTTTGAAGACGAAAGAACGGATCTGAAAAAGCCGGAAAAATCTTGCTGTAATGATAATATTCATCTCACTTCTTTCCCATACAATCCTGATAGACATATCACTAATTTATCCTCCATTGTGTTGTCCGTTCATGAAAGGGCGGTACTTTATCTGAGTTTTAATTTTTCTTTCCATGCAACTCAAATCTCTGGAGTGACAATCATTACCCCTTTAGAAAACCTCTATGATCAATTGAGTACTTTACCCGCTTCATCCTTAGAGAATAAAAGTTGGTTTAAAGCTAAACTAGTGGATATAGCACACTAGTTTCATTCTCTCGGACCAAAGCACAGAAGCATGTTAACTTCGGAGCACAAGTCATTAAAATAGTTGCTAAATAATGCTGATATTATTATAGTTGAACATGATAAAGGATCAGATGTCATTATTATGAATAAGTCCTATTACAAAAATAAAATGAAATCCATTTTCAGTGATAAAAGCAAATTTATGACTGATGTTGACGCTGATGGATTATGTAAATTAAAAAGGGAAGTAAACTCAAATGTAATCAAATTGTTAAACACGAATGCTATCAACAAAGAGGAGTTTGATTAATTAAAACATATGGGTTTGGTGTATCCTAATTTATAGAGATTACTAAAATCCCATAAACCCGACACCCCATTACGTCCAAATATATCAATTTGTTGGTCACCTACACACAATCTGGCAAAATGGCTGTCAAAAGTATTAAACCCAATCCGAAACCAATTTTGTAAGTATTATTTGAATGAATTAGTTGGATTATTTAAGTACCTAATGAATATGAATATAAAAAGTCTATGACAGTGTCCCTATGATGTAAACACTTTATTTACAAATTCACCTCTTAGAAAGACTTAATATTTTATGTGATTATATCTCATTAATTAAACCGTTGCCATTTTCTGTTAAAACTCTTAAACACATTATTATTATGTACTGACAACATAAAATTCACTTTTGATGGTGAGCACTTGATTGATGGCGTAGCTATGCATAGCTGTTTTGGACTGTTGTTGGCTGATGTGTTTATGGAATATGTGGAAAATCTAGCTGAAGACTCAATTCAGAAGATATGCCTGTATAAGCAGTACGTGGATGACATCATAATCATAGGTGATAAACTTGAAGATGTGAACCTCTTGTTAAAAGAACTCAACACAAGTCAAAAGCATATTTCTCTTACATGCGAAGAAGAGAAGAATAACCGGCCTCCTTTTCTAGACATACTGATCAGTAGGAGAGATGATGGTTCCATCAAACGTTTCGTACGTAGAAAGCCATGTTTTGGTCTGGCACAAATCTATGAAGTCACTGACAAGTAGACTGAGCCGTGTTAGTAGGTGTAGACTACTTGGTTGGGGTCTGCGAGATGATAGCAACCGATGGTTAGAGACCCTGAATGACATGACTCAAAATTGTTTGCAGTGACTCAGGTGCATCCACTCCTTGTGTTCTCCCAAATTCTAATCTAAATTCTTCACGTCCTTTTTTCTCTTTCCAAATTTATTTCACTGGATTATACTCCTTAAATAACATCTTTAAACCCTAGTGTTTCCGATTACTGCTTATACGCTTACCTCTACCACTATAAGATTTTAATCGACAACTGCATCTCTTATGTATGGCAACTCAAACTCATCCATCTAACAGCACTCAAGACCACTGTATTCATAATCAACCTCTTCAATTCCTATTATTCCTCCTACACCGACTTTCAACACTAAACTTCCTCTTTTGGCTTCCTCCTGAAGTGTCACCATAGCCAACGATTCTAGTGCGCAAAACATTGTCCCAGGTCTACTGAAATCTCGCTCCAAACTACACATTGCAGCCTTCAACGTACACAGCCCAGGTCAAATCGGCCAGCAGGGCTCCCTGGCTAAAACCCTTGAATCTCGTACTATTGATATATGTTTTGTTTCCGAAACACGCATACAGGATACTAGTGTAGTCATTCACTTGACCTCACCTTGCCAAAACGGAGAGCCGACGAGATACGCCTTCCGTGCATATGGCGACCCAATGGCCAGTTCTCGTGGACTGGCAGGTGTAGGCATAACACTAAATACGAGGACGGAACAAGCACTATTAGAGTAGATCCCCGTTAATAGTCGCCTATGTGCTGTTCGGCTAAACGGCTCCGTAAGAACTCGGAAGGATAGAGACACACGTCGTTGCCTTTTCTTTGTTTCTGCCTACGCCCTCACTGACTGCGGCCTGGATGAAGTGAAAGATAACTTACAGTTAGCTTTCTGAACTTATTCAAAGAGCTAAACGCTCAGACATAATACTCGTAGCAGATGACTTTAATGCCCACGTAGGAAGCTTAAACCAAACAGAAAGACATTGAAGTAGGTATTTTAGTATCCCGGCTCAGCGAACAGATAATGGTGATCGTCTGCTGCAACTATGCTCAGACAATCGTTTATTTCTAGCAAACACAAATTTTAAGAATAAGGAGAGACATCGTCTAACATGACGACCCCCTACACCAAACCAACGATGGACTCAAATAGACCATATTGCCATCAGTCATAGTTGGAGAGGGTCGATGGAAGATTGTTGCTCATTCTGAAATACCTGCTTGGACTCCGACCATGCTTTATTACGAGCACGCATCTGCTTGCGCCTCACTGTACGCAAAAAAGCAACACTAAAAAGACCCATTAGAACTGAATTGAGTAGCGAGAAAACTAAAAGTAGGTTCCAGGAAAAACTGAGGTCACAATCAGGTAGTTCTGAAAACGAGGCTGACCCAGATGTTGCTTGGAAAGATATGCAAAGAGCTGTGGGAATAGAAGCGACACCTATTTATCTCTGCGCTAATGTGGTATGGCAACTCGAACTAATGTACGCACGTACGTTCTACGTTGTTGCTGACTGACTGATCTAACTACCAACGTGTTAGTCTGACCAGCATAGTGGTAAAAACACGTAATGATGAGTTGCATAGTCACAGAGTCTTGAAGTCTGTTGAATCTACAGTAACATGAGTTTCGTAAGAGGTCCTGTCCGAATATAACCGAATCGCAGGACGAGAACAAGCCAGTGACCCAAGAAATTGGATTTTCTATCAATGTTCGTAAATTGCAGCAGGGTATTCGATAGGTTGTCAGTCAGTTAGTCAGCTACAATGTAGGACTAGGCACATATATGCATCGGTCCAAGTGGCCACACGTCATTAGCACAAGATGAACACCAAATTCATAGGAGTAGTTAAGTCAATGGTGGTAATATATATAGTACAGGAAGAAAGATATAGTACGTACGGGAAAATAAAGTGTATACACCTACGCCATTGTGATCGATTCCGAGCCATGTCACCCAGGGTCTCCAACCATTGCTTACGATAGTCACACGGGCCGCAATCAAATAGTCTGCATTTACCAACATGACTCAGACCAGATGTTAGTGTCTTCAAGCACTGATGCCACGTTTTGGTTTGGCCACCCCTAACTTTCTCCCAATGATCCCCAACACCGGTTAGCATTGCACATCGATAGGTTGTCACTCATGATTTGTACAGGAGCTTTTCAGATTCGGAATAACAAGGGGTTGGATGAGATATCTCTTCTGAGACCTAATACGGAGTGAAATAAATACGAAACCCTAACCGGATGAAGCCCTGTAAAGTGTGACGTGCTACGAATTATTGTCTGAAGTTTCCTGCTCTTCCTACTCTACATTGATTAATGTTTAGGCTATAGCTAACTTGAAACGAGGAAGAGCAGATGGATTGGCTCCAGAGGTCTTTAGGGATGGTGGTTCAGTTTTGGCGACTAAATTGACTAATATTCTAGCTAAAATCTGCGATCTATATAACATTCCATCTGACTGATTCCAACCACTTATTGTCCCAATACATAAGAAAGGGTCAAAATCATCCTGTGATAACCATAGAGGGATTAGTTTGACTAATATAGCATCTAAAACACTAGCCTCGATAATTACCAGACGCTTAACTAAGACTCGTGAGCTGCAAACACAAGAGAATCAAGCTGGCTTCAGACCTGGTCGTGGCTATATCGACCACATATTCACTATTCGTCAGGTTCTAGAACATAGGCATACTTATTGGCGTCCGACAATGGTGGTCTTTCTTGACTTAAAAGCAGCATTTGACTCGGTAGACCGCGAGATTCTGTAGCAGTGTCTGTCATTGAAAGGCGTACCCCAGAAGTACATAAACCTTGTGAGGGCTTTTTACTCGAACACTACCAGTTGAGTCAGAGCTTATGGCGAACTGTCATCTGCTTTTGCAACCTCAAGTGGTTTCCGTCAAGGCTGTCGACTTTCTCTATTTCTGTTTAACTTCATCATAGACCTACTAATGGAAATAATGCTCTCGTCGACTGAATTCTCGTGTACTGATATCCTTCCAGGAGGTCCACTTATCGACTTAGAATACGCAGATGACATAGTCCTGTTTGGTGAAGACGCTGACTAAATGCAGAGTCTTTTGATCGCACTAAGCAACAATGCCAGAATGTTTGGGATGCGCTTCTTTCCCTCGAAATGCAAGTTGTTGCTTCAGGACTGGTCTGCGTCAACACCTGAACTAAGGATAGGG